CTAAGATATAGAACACTAATAAATCTAGGTGCTAGATTAGCTACTTTAGTAGCTAGCTATATATAATTATCCTTAAGTAGCTACTAAAATATAACTATCTACCTAAAGTTATAGATCTAGCTAATTAAGAGTTATATACCTTAGTTAGGTTTAGTAATATATTTAGTAATATTATCTTAGTATATATAATCTTTAAAATATAGCTAGTTACTACTTAAGTAAATTACTAAGTTTAAGAAAGTGTCTACTTTATATATTTACTAACTAGCTTCTTTAACTAAGAGATTATAATAGACTATATATAGTACTTTAATATAGAGTTATATATAAGGTTAATAAAGTATTACTAAATAAGCTACTTCTTTAAGGACTATTTTAGTGTTAATATATATAGTTATAATACTTATAATTTATATCTACCTAATAGTTAACTAAGTAAATAAAAGGTAAAGTATTATAACTATTAAGATACTATAGAAAAGTTAAAGTAGCTATATTACTTTCTCCTCTTTAATAAATTTATAGGCTATATAAGTCTAAAGCTTATAAAATATTATATTAACTTTAATATTATCTTTACTTTTTTTTACCTTATATAATATACTTTCTTTAACTAATAGATATAAAAGTCTTTTAACACTTTAAGAAGGCCTAATAAATAGTACTCTATAGGTATATATAGGAAAGTAACCTTATATTTATAAGAGGTAACTTTATTACTACCCTTAATACTATAGTTAAAGAGGCCTTTACTATTACCTATATTATAAAAAGTTTTAAGAAAGTAAGTATATAGCCTATATATAATAATATTATACTTAGCTAACTAGTTAAAAGGATATAATAAAGTAATAAAGATATACTATTATATTTTATTTATTATTTACTATATAATAACTACTTTAATAAGGTAATCTTTACTACTAACTATATAGAGGAGAAATATAGTAGTATATAGAGTAGTCCTTTAAAGAGGGGATTTAAAGTAGTAAAGTAAGTAATTTATAAGAGATCTTTTACTTATAAGTACTAGTAGTAATACCTTAAGGACTAAAATACTAGACTAAAAATATAGTAATAGAAAAGCTAGTACTAGTAAGCTATTAAACTATAATACTTCTTTATAACTAGTATTACTATTATAAATATAAAGGAAGTATATAATAAGTAAGTTATAAAAGTAATATAGGTAGAAATATAGTACTAATAGGTAGTAGTAAAAAGGATAGCCTATAAGTAAAAAAAAAAAGTCTAGTAGTAATATAGTACTACTAAGTATTAAGAGGTAAATAAATAAATAAAGTAACTAACCTTTAAATAGTAGCTAGTCTATACTAAAGAAGATTAACTATATATCCTATTTAACCCTTTAGATCTATAGTAGTATAATAATAATACTAAAAGTAAAAAGAAATTTACTATTAACCTTAACCTAGGTTCTCTACTATAGTATATACTTAACTAATTTAAGTATACAGTAAGACCTCTTAGTTAAGGTAATATTAATTAGGTATTAGCTAATATAGCTATAGAGATAGTAAGGCTAGAATTTAACCTTAAGATCTTTATAGATATTAATAACCCTGTTAATAAAGACATTAATTTAGTTATATTAAGTAAAGAATTAGTTAGTATACCTAAGAGTAATAATAATAATAATAGTTATATATTATTACTATTACTACTAATAATACTAATAGCTAGCCTTTTAATATTATAAGGTCCTTTATAATATAAGTTATAATATTACACTATAAAGGATAAGATAAATAGCTAGAAGACTACAAAGGTTATACTATAAAATTACCTATTTATACCCCTATTAATATAAATAAAAAAGGACTAGTAATATATAGTAGATAATAATAAAAGTAATACCTATATTATAGTAGTAATATAAATTTATAGTTATTATATAAAAAAGAAAAAAAAGGTACTATTATAAAGCCCTTAATTAAGGCTATTAATTAATACTACTCTTGTTATTATATAACGTTGTAGGCGTTATTACTTTAAGAAATAAAAAGTTGACTATACTATATAATGTACGCAAAAGTGAGGGTATTTGTGATAGGGGTTGGCAACCCCTTTTTCGGAGTGGCAACCCCATTTTTTCGCCCTCTCCGTGAGGAGGGGGTATTTAGCTCACAGCGCTGACTAAGTTGCCCCCGGGTAATCCCCCCTTGAATTAAGTTCCACCGTCGACAGCAGGGAGCTCCATGGGTGTCCACGTGCCTTCATCACAACACTCCGCTCCCAAGGCCGGGAAATTGCTTAACACTCCACTGGGCTCTAGGGACTGCCTGGTACCCGGAGGCTGCACGCGCATGGTGGCTTTATGTTATAATGTGTCTTGATGGCGTTGCTTGAGGTCGAATCTTGGCCTGGAGATGTGGAGGTCGGATGCGGGTAAGGGGCAATATATCCGTGCCAACAAACAAGGCTCCCCCGAAGACCAAAGAGCTGATCGTATTACAAGTACCCAATGAAAATCAAGGATAGAGGCGCGGCAAAATGCGCTGGCGACAACCAATCCCCATAAGAACCGAGGAGCGCCCGAAAAAGAAATAATAGGAGCATCTGCAAAAGGAATCTACTTGGTAAGGGAGTTCGGATCGAAACCCGTCCGTTCCATGGAACAAATCCTACGTGCTGGTGCGTACCGAAGTGTTTCGTTGCACGCAACGTCGTATTCCTGGTAGGGGTGTTGATGTCTAGCCCAGTTTCTTTCTTCCCACGTCGACTTCATCAGATTTGCATGTGCGAGCAAGACGGATAAATAACAGTTTTATGGACGACGCTGAAAGATATGAGCATCTTTTCAAACAGGTAATGCTACACGTTCTAAAGGTATTGACACGAAACCCAAACAAACGCCCAAGATATTCGTAAAAGCTCAGAATTTGACCTCGCGCGTGCGATCCCGCTTGGGCTAAAACCCACTTCCCTGGATCCAAAAAGATGACCCCTTTTACCCAGTTCATACTTCATCCCGAGCCACCCGCGATCCAGAAGGCCGGCTAAGGACGACAAAGGTGGAGTAGTGACGGACTGTCCGATCCAGCCTTACTCGTAGGGCGAAGCATGGGGCTTAGTGCCGCTTTGCTAGCGAGAAAGGGGTGAGAAAGTACATCATCATAAGGCTTTTCGGCTCTCTTGAGGTAGCGTCCCGCACACTCCCCCTAATGGTCTCCTCCAACCGAGAGAGGCTTAGCACCAGCCACGAACCTCGTCAGGGGGAGCGGTGCAGCGCAGGCCCTGGCCGTCGGCGCACTGGAAGCCGGAGGTGGCGATTTCGCGGCAGGCCTCTTCCCACTGGTCGCCGGCAATCCGGTCCGAGTCGGTGCTCTTGACGCACTGCGGGGGAGGGGTCAGCATCATGGTGTACAGAAAGGGACCATCGCTCTGATGGAACGGGGACTCACGTTGCCGGACGGAGTGTCGTAGGTGCCCTTGCCCCACTCGTAGTTCTTGGAGGCGTACAACTCGCAAGCCTTGATGGTGATGCGCCAGTTGTAGCTGTCGCCGTTGCCGCAAGAGCAGGCCTCATGTAAATCGGCGGAACTGGGTGATTGTTAGGTGTTGATGTCTTTCTCAACACTCGGATAAGCTCTCGACTACTTACGCGACGGATAGAAGAACGAAGACGGAGGCGATCTTGGCGATGGAGAACTGCATCTTGGCGGTTGATGAAAGCTGATTGTGGGAGACTTTGGCGAGAAAGGTAGTGACTGTAAAAGCAGCTGAACGATGAAAAGAAAGAATGAATGGAGTTGGCACTGATTACTAGATCTGTCCGAAGAAAGGAACGTGATGGGCGTGGGATGGGGCTGGAGCTGATACCTTGGGTGATATATGGTGCGCAACCTGTTGAGGTTTATATCCACGGTCACTTGCAACGAGTCAAGAACACCTTGATCCCGCCCTCTCTTCCGGCAGGCAATAATCTACTAGTATCACCATGTAGACGGGTGCTTAGTGTGGACAGACGAGTGACGGGAGCCATCCTCCCACCGCCCAAGGTTCCACCGAGGCTCGCATAGCCTTCAAACTTACTGACAGGGAACGACGGAAGGCTCCGGGGCCCGCAGTGATAAATTGATCATCGTTGGCTGCGGACTCAACGTGTGGATAGATGTGACCTCTGGGCGCCCCGTGCTGGGCGGTGCAAGAATAGGGCAGAGCACACTCCTGACCACCCGTCCGTCATCAAACCTGAGCTGCTTCTTCTGGATATGGAATAGCCCAGTCTTATTTTGAGAAGTCTGGGAGCCCCAAAACCTGTCTTATCCTTGCCAGCAGGGCTTCCTGTGCCCATACGCATCTTACACGAGGTCCTTGGCCCCAGGGGAAGGGGACGGATAGCTCGAGGGCGCTCCCGCGTAAGGGGAAGAATACACGCGTAGAGAAATATGTAACGTCTAGGTACCTTCCTAATCGGTCAATGATAAGGTGGGCTTTGGATTATGGCATGAAACGATGAGCCGAACGGGGAGGGGGCGATACCCGGGGGCCACTTAGACTTATACATGACTCGTAGCCGCTCTCAAGGATCGACTAGGCCGGATTTACCACGAGAGCCGCAATTGTCCACGCGCACATCATCCGCGCCCGAGTCTGGCGTCTAACGGATATCAATGTGAAACAAGGAACCCCCAGCTATAGACTCGCTGTCGTTCGTTCGATTCCCATCTCATCTTCCTCACATCCAGGTAACCCGCCGGCGTAAGCCCCCCCGCCGTCCTGGAGACGGACCGGTTGAACGGAATGCATCCCGCCTTTGAGCCAGCGCATCATCGTATTACAGTTGGGCCTCTTTGATTCAGCCATAGCATCTGTATGCATGGGATGACGGCCCGTTGTCTCGGTCCTGGCCGTGAAGGGGGAGTTTGATATTGCTTCTCCATGGACGTTCGGCCAGGATCCGAGCTAGGCTCTCACGGTGGCCATGCCAGATGCCGCGTAGGGATGCTCTTGGAGATGATCCAGACCCCCTCCTTGGACTCTTTCCCCACGTACGGGTCCGCGAGCTGCGCTTCTCTGCCCATCCATGAAGGACACTCGCAAGGCGCGCGACCGGGGGCAAAGAAACTTCGATGGGCGCCATAGCCGCTTGACAGGACGCCTTAGCTCCGTACGTTATAAGAACAGACGCCTCCCAGCCAGATAACCGGATTCTCATCACTCGAAAAGCAGGCATTCTCCCATCAGTCTTGATTCCCCCACATTCCTTTTTTCTTCTCAGCCGACCTATTCCTTTCTGTCTTTACTTCTCGAAGCCGCTCTTTTTTTGCAAGATATCATCCGCCTTCGTTTCGGTATTACCACAACCTACAAAGCATATAACCAACCCAAATATTCACTCTTCAAGATGCGCTTCTCCGTTCTTACAGCCGCCGGTCTCCTCGGTGCAGCTGTCGCCGCCCCGGCCCCTTCCCCAGTTGCCCTCAACTTTGACGATGTCGTCGTTGTCGGCCACGATGGTACCCATCAGGTCATGAAGACTGCTGAGTACGAAGCTCTCCAGTCTGGTGCCGCTCTCGCCCCGGCTCCCCCCCTCAAGCTCCATGATATCTCTCGCCGCGACTGCGCGCAGTCCACCGAGGTCCAGATCTTGACGGACGAGGAGTTTCTCAACTGGGACGTTGCCATCTCCCCTGTCCTGAGCACCAACGGCGGCGCCGCGACTGTCTCCGTTGCCAACGGTTACTCCATCGCCAATACCGTCACTGCCACAGCTGGCATCTCGGCCACCGTCGAGAAGGTCATCGGCCTCTCCCTCTCCGTCAGCTACTCCCAGAGCTGGACCACCACCGAGACCCAGACTCTCGGCTTCACTGTCCCCGAGGGCCAGTTCGGCGTCGTCGTGTCCCAGCCCAGCGTCCGCCGCGTCACTGGCAACATCCTCTCCGGCTGCACCGACAGCCCCGACAAGAGCGATTTCGTCTCCGATACCTACACTGCCCAATCCTACGGCAGCCTCTCCTGGGTCAAGGGCGTCATTCGTCTTTGCAACAGCACTACCTACCCCATCCCCTACTGCATTGGCGAGGGTGAGCACCGTTAAATGTCTCACGTTGTGGCCGCCCCGGACTGAAAGAGTTTGGGCGCAGAAGCCTGATGATAATCATTATTCAGCTCTCAGAGAGAGTCATCGAACCTTAGGGACACGTCTGGAACGGACAGGCGTTTTTGCAGCTCTTGGCTTAGAACCCCTGGGACACGCACGATGTAATGTCCACATCATCTCTTGTCCTGTTATACCATTTCAGTTATCTGTCTTACGCGAGCTACGCATGTTATTGTACATAAAAAACAGGGGGTTAGAAACCTGGACAGACTTTATGTGAAAGTGGATCAATTGCAACCTGGCTTGTCTTGGCCTACAGTGGGAGATGAACAAATGATCCAAGTGACGTATTATAGTTATCAATAATGGTGACTTGGCAGTGCGATGCCTAAATGCTTACAATGGTTCAAATCGCGAGCAACGGAATATTGTCATCAGGAACCGCTCATACGCCTAGGCGGATGTGACCGAGAGCCGGATAGGCCGTGAAGGGGTTGAGGAGGCCGCCGAGCCAACATAACAAATCCATGGACGGAACCAAAAGAGCTTCGCGGACATATTAGAAGCACAAAAAGCTTATAGTTAATCTGAATTAATTTGTAGGAGAATTTCTGTTAAGCCGATGATTATGTAATCGCTATGGAATAGGTGGACTGATGGTAGTAGGCTCTAAAGTGTGCATGTTTTTTTCGCAAGCCAGGTAAAAGCTACGACACGTACAGCCAGCTTTCAAAGTGCCGGGACATCGTGAGAGATCCATTAGGTCACCGAAATTGGCATCCACGTCGTCAAACAAGGCGAACAAGGTCGCCTGGGATCCGCTGACCCACCGGGGGTTCAAATCCTTCACGCCTTCGTCCCTTTACAGGATCAACTCCGAGCAAAAAAGGGGGACGCGGACCCTGTGGAATCGGACCAGTGTCCATCACATCATGTTGACCAGCTGCATAATACAGACAACGCTGTCCATGTTTCTCTACATCGTATAAAACTTACTTCGACTCTCGCATTTTAAAGAGATGAAGTCGGATGAACAGAGGTTGATCGCTGGCAGGCCGAGTCATCTGTCCCCGCAAACAAGGGGGTATGGGCAGCATTGGGGTCCATATGCAAGACACTGGATAATTAAGCTTATAGAGAATTATTATCCATCCTAAGTAATGAATGTTCCGGGCTGGCGGAAGATGCTCCCCCTATGAAACCTGAGTCAACATCCCTCCAGCCGCACTCGAATCGCGTCCTGAACCAGAAACACAACGGATCGGCGAGTCAAGCCCCAGGACACTTCCCACGCGCACATACACAGATGGGCTCTTCCCTCTTGGTTTGCGTACCCGGCTGCGACTCTATCGTTACTTTCGGCCGGATGTTTCCAATTGCCCCGGGCCCCAAGCCACGCTCTCGGTTTGAGTTGCCGGATCGTCTCGGCACTTCGGCAACCTCCACAACACCTGACGAGCAGAAGAATGCACCGTGATGCCGAGTCAGTTCAGGTTCCGCATCCCCGGTTGATCATTTCCATTAAGATCTTGCTGATATAAATATTATCGACTTCTTCGCGAGCATGACCGACAGCGTCTCCGACTAATAAAACGCTGCTTGACCACCGCACTGTAGTATAAGATGTTTGGTCCCTAGTCTCGTCCAATTTCTTTTCATTTCCTGTCCCAAAAGTTTATTTACTTTCTATTTGTAAACTGAGAAGAATAGCGATAAGCATCATGTCTGCATGCTGTTATTACATTTTTTCCGACAGAAACTTGCCGGAGATATGGTAAATTCGTTCCATCTGAGACACAATGGTTCTTGTGATGGAATAATCAAGCACACTAACGTCATGTACCCTTTCACCATCAACTGCTAATCTTTGTTCGATCTCCCGTCAGCTCTGCACATGATACTGCCATGTCCAAATCTGACGGGCGCAGAAATGCATGATCGGCGCTCGCCAACTGCGGGGTATCCGGCGTCAGCGCCCGCTTCTCATCTGTCAACTTATTTTCTTTCGTGACTGCACGATACGCTACGCTGGAAACATCATTCGAGCGCACTCCAGGGACCCCCCGTCATAGCCATGCCTCATCTCGCTAACCTCATGCCCAACTACGTGACGGCTTCCATCGCCCTGTCGTTCGGGGGCTTCCTGAACGGCTACGACACAGGGTGCATCGGCGCCATCGTCCATATGGAGCAGTTCGCGGCGACGCTGGGCCCTCTCTCCGCCACCGTCCGCGGCATCACCGTGTCCGTCATCCTCCTGACGGGCACCGTCCCCTCCTTGTTCGCCGGGCAGCTCGCCGACAAGCACGGCCGCCTCCGCGTCATCTTGCCCGGGGCTGCGCTCTTCGGCCTCGGCGCCTTGCTGCAGGCCACGTCCTTCAGCCTCGGGCAGTTTATCTGCGGCCGCGCCATCAGTGGCGTCGGCCAGGGCGCGTTCCTCGGCAACATCGCCGTCTACCTCGCCGAGATCGCGCCGTCGAGCCGGCGCGGTCGCTTGGCTGCCCTGCCGCTGTTCATGACGACGGTCGGCATCTGCCTCGGCTATTTCTCCTGCTACGCGACGAGCAGATCCCTCGAGGACAGCATGGCGTGGCGTCTCCCGTATGTAATCATGGTGACCGTCTCCATCATGCTTGCCCTTGCGTGTCGTGCGTTGCCCGAGTCGCCGCGTTGGCTGCTGCTCTGGGGGAGGACATCCGACGCAATGACCGCGCTGGAGTTGCTTGACTTTAACATGGACGAGGCCCGTCGGGATTTTCTTAATACCCCCCAAGAGCAGTCGAGTCTCTCGACTCGTCAGAACTTCATGCTGCCTTTCAGGGGTCCGTACCGCTCCAGGACCCTTCTAGCCCTGTTCATCTTGTCTATGGTCCAGCTATCAGGGATCGATGCCATTACTTATGTGGGTTGTCTCTCCTTTTGATCCTTAAATGCACCAAGAGAAGGAAAAGGGGAAAACATTGACTGTGAATAGTATGCACCTGCGCTCTTCGATCAGGCAGGGATCTCCAATTCCAACTCTTCGCTCGTCGCTTCGGGAGTCTCATCTATCACAATGCTTCTCATCTCCATCCCTGCCTTCATGTTGGCCGATAAATGGGGACGCCGCACCTCGGCAATTAGCGGCGGCGTCTTCCTGTCGGGGCTCATGCTATTGATCGGAAGCCTTTACGCTGCTGGTTCCGTCGGCCCCGCAGGAGCAGCACGCTGGGTCGTCATCGTCTCCGTCTTCGCGTTTGGCATGGCGTATTGCGCCACTTGGGGCATCGTTGCGAGGATCTACGCCAGCGAGATCCTCCCAGGCAACACGCGAGCCGCAGGAAACGCCATCGGGATGGCGTGTAATTTCGTGAGTCGTGTCGTTGTGATACGTCTAAGATATTGGCTGACTCTGCAAAGTTTGCAAATTGGCTGGTCGCACTCATCACGCCCATATTGCTGTCGGCATCGGCCTACGGCGCTTACTTCTTCTTTGGCGCCTTGACCATATTCACAGTTGTCGTTCTCGCGGTTTTTATGCCCGAGACACGCGGTCGCTCACTCGAAAACATTCAAAGCGAGTTTCGGCGGCCAGTTTTCGAGAACATGGTTGGCTCTCTATGCCTTCCGGGAGCTCGTCGCCGCGCTGCTGCTTCTCAAGGGGCTTCTGAGTCCCCTTTTGAGTTGCAGGCTCGATCTACTGAGCCCTCATATGTGGCAAGCTCATCTGGAATCGCATCTTGATTTTGTCAGAAGAGATCGCGGCATCATCGGATGCGTACTGACTTGGCAGGGTCGCGGTACACAACAGTTTGACTCCTGTATTCACAAACTGTAGAGGTATGTACGAGACTGACTGCAACTGATCTTATTGCACTCTGATTATCTTTGGTTTTATTGAAATTGGGTATATAACTACCAATAGCAGTATGTAGCGTCCTAAGAAATCTCTCTGTAGTTTTGAAAGACCATTCCAGGAAATCAGTCCTCACCCGTACCCTCGACGAATTGCCGCCGTTGCCGTGTTCAAATCATACTCTGCTACTGGAGTAAATGTCACTATGCTTTCCCAACCCTCGCCCACTCTGTACCCCTTTCTTTCAATTCCCCGACATATTTATGCTGTCTCACGTATAACTCGCGCCTTGGCGTAACTACTCTGAAGACACCAACCCTGAAACTTTCAACTCCGCTTCCCAGCGTGACAAAGTAGAAGCACACGCTATAGTAGTACGATGATCCAAACCAAGGCATCGCTCCATCCGACGAACGCAGTCCTGCATTAGGCAAACTGCGTCGTTCCGGCAGTCTTGATTGTTATATACAAACGCCAAATTAGCCATGCTTAGTAGTGTGTAAGGATGCTCCTCTCCAAGCATCCTCTTTCTTGCCTCTAGAATCTGCACCTGTAGCTCCTCAGCATCCTTCCAGCGGCCTTGATAACCATATGTAGACGCAAGGTTAGACGTGCTTGTAAGTGTGTCAGGATGCTCCTCTTCAAGTACCCTCTTTCTTGCCTCTAGAACCTGCATCTGTAGCTCCTCAGCATCCCTCCAGCGGCCTTGATAACCATATGTAGACGCAAGGTTAGACGTGCTTGTAAGTGTGTCAGGATGCTCCTCTCCAAGTACCCTCTTTCTTGCCTCTAGAACCTGCATCTGTAGCTCCTCAGCATCCTTCCATCGGTCTTGATAAATATACAGAAACACAAGGTTAGCCATGCTTGTGAGTGTGGCAGGATGCTCCTCTCCAAGCAACCTCTTTCTTGCCTCTAGAACCTGCATCTGTAGCTCCTCAGCATCCTTCCACCGGTCCTGTTTCATATATAAACACGCTAGGTTGCCCATACTCGAAAGTGTTTTAGGGTCATTCTCTCCAAGCATCTGTTGTAGCAAGTCTACAACCTGCAATTCGTAGCTTTCCGCCTTATTGAACTCATCCCTGTATTCAAAGTAACCCGCTATACAATGTAAGAGAGAAGCTCTAGCGGCATTCTCAGCATGCGAGTGTGTTGCTTCGTTTTGAAGCACAGCAAGGGCATGAGGCAGGTAATCCATACATTCTTGTCGAGTCTCGTGTTTTCCGTATGGAAACAACGTGGATACAACATCCATAGAATACTCCGAGTACTTGGTATATTCATCCCGCATAACGAGCCACTTTCGTGTTACCAATTGAATCAAACGATGCAAGTCGAGTATGTTGTCCTTTGATTCTGCGACGAATGAAAATGCTTTGAGAGTTCCCAAAGCTTTGGTGACTTCTCCTATGCCAGGTTGCGGTCCTTCGTGGCTCTGGTTACAATACTGTGTAACAATCTTTTTCGGAATAGCTTGACGGTCCAGAAGACAGATGAATGATAGAATCTGACTAGCAAGGGTGTCCCGTTGTTGGATTTGATTGAAAGAAACGATCCAGGTGGCTGTGACTTCATTGGGTACACCCGAGTCTCGACCGACGGTGGTGAATGGCTCGCTCAACTGGTCTACCAGATTCTCGTCACTCTCGTCCAAAAGTTGGAGGTACTCGCTGATCGAAATGCTGTTCTCTTGTATAAAAGCAGCTGCCTGGACGAGGGCTAATGGGAGGTACTCGAGCCGGGCCGAAAGACTTGAGACCTCCTCGAGAGGGGCTTCCTTGCCTAGCGTCCTTTGAAGTAGCTGTCCCGTCTCATTTTGATTCATTTTTTCAATCTCAATGATGGATGGCTTTCCCTGGGAAAACCGCAATGCGGCCCTCTTGTCCCTGGTCGTAATAAGGATAGATCCGTGGGCGCAATCTGGGAGATAATCGCTCAACCGACTCGATGATTGGGCACTCGTTTCTTTGGACGTGTTGGCCCTTCCTGTCTCTGATGGAAAGAAAAGCTCTTTGTCGTCAGCGTTGTCGATGATCATGATCCAACGGCCACGCTCTTTCTTCTCTAGCCATCTGCGAACTAGCATTGGCACGTCAGACTTGCTGTCGTCATGTCCAGGGATCCGGCATTCTTCTGCTATGGACGTAAACGCCTGACGAAAACGGTCTGTACTAGCGGAATGAACCCAGAATACAGAAACGTCCGAACAGTTGTCTCTGATCCAATAGGAAAATGCTAGTGCAACCTGTGTTTTCCTGCGTGGTTTGTTAGGATGGAAAAGATTGCAGGCCACGAGAATCACATACCCAACTCCACCAAGGCCAAATAGCGACACTCTCGAGTACTGCGTGGTCTGGTTCTTGCCGTAGCCAAGTGTGTCTTTGATAGTGTCTAATGTCTCGAGGCGGCCAATGTAGTCTGGATTCTGGTTGTATGGTACGAGAACTAGATTGATCAGCATAAATTCTGAAACTGCAGCTTGTAAAACGTTACATACAGTTTGTCTTGTTAGCCCTCAGCCGGCTTTGTACGGTAAGCGCCCGTTGCGCCAGGCCCTCAAGTTTTCCCCGTACCAATTCATAGTCATGGTCCTCAATCCCAAACTTGATCATGCCCTGATGCGACCGGTTGATAGCACAGATATTTTCCGGGCCATCCTCCCAAGGCCGACAGTGAGTAGCCGAAGACTTCGTGACAAGTACTGTCCTCTCTCCACTCATGCTCCACGTGCCATCCTCATCCTATGACTTGTCAGCAACATGATCTACAGCATATGTGTTTCAAATAAATACCTGTTTGGCTGTAGGTGAATCTTGAGTTTCATAAAAACAGAACACCTCCGTTTGACCCTTAGCCCCTAGTGCTCTATGGAAGTCTCGTTGTTGTATACTGAGAATTTGCGAGTTGATCTGGTTGAGAGATCCAACAAGCTCGCGATTCGGCCCATCCCCAACCATTGAGACAAGGGACCTGATTTCCATGCCGTCATGAGGAACTCCAAAAGAAACCACACCGTACACAGCTTGAAGAAGCTTATGATGGTCATCCGCTTCCGAATTTGCAACGGTGATAAGGGCCTTGCTCGCGGGTTAGCACACTGCTATTGCTTTCAAGCATAATCACTAACCTGCTTCACAATCAATCCTCCCAAGCTGTGTGCGACGAAAATCAACGGTCTGACTTTCCGAGAAGATGTAAGTGTATTGAGGCTGTCGCGGAATGTCGTGGCGAGGTCCTCCAAGTTTTGCATGCTGCGGCTGTTTACAACTTCAGACTCGTAACCGTATGTTATGACGCGAGCCATAGGATGATTGGTGTGTTCCCAAAGCAGGTGGTAGGGTAGAGCGTCGCGTAGCCACATGTGATGGCCCTTTGGTTCTCTGAAAGATCCAAACGCGTGACCCCCCAGGCCTGATATCGCCACGATGCTTCACTGATTATTAGTGTCGCCCATAAAGTAATTCTTCGGAGTACATACTCTACCCTGTGGTCCTCTGGCGAAGGATCGAAAAGCGTAGTCAATCCAAGAAAGCCGTGGTCAAGTATGAGTGTCTGGTTGTCCTCTTCAGGTCGTAAGCTGCCTTGAAGCGTCTTTGGAGGGTCTGTCCCGTCCCGAAAGGTGGCTGTCCCGGTCTTGGAGCGTCCATGGGCTTCTATGGCAAGTGATTTTACGACTGGATCGTGGCAGTCATCATGCATCAAAAGGAACGATTGAAGATCATCTTTATCCCATACGAGAGGTACGCCTCGAATGCGATAGTTCTTGGCACCGCTTACTCTTCGACGCTTTGGTGGCGGAGTCGAAGATGTTCGCGCCATAACTGCCGATTGTTGAAATGTAAGAGATCGGTATGACGCGCTGTGATTGATGCTTCCCGCCCGTCACAGGCTGAAAAGGATTATCTGCCCTGAAACGAGACAGGATAGCTCAAGCCACAAGAAACCCGTATAGAAAAGCAGAGAGAAAGGATTTGTATTCGCAGGCGAAGAGATCAGGCAGAAGATAGTGTTAAGGTGGGTAGTCAGGCAACCGGATGCCTGAGACAGAGGTGAGGGGTAGTATGCACGTCGGGAATGGCGAACCATTATCTGACCATTTGATTGATTAAGAATGCACATTCTTTAAGCGCTGGGCAACCTCGAACTTAAAGATAGACCAATCAGCATCTTCAGCCATTGCGCTTTCTACCCTTTTGGGAATAGCACCGGCGTTTCCGTATGAGGGGTGTTTATCTTTGCCAAAACCTAGCACACCCGGGTAGAAAACAACAAATCAGACGTCTACCTGCTGTCGTCGAGAATCCACCTTTTTACAATATCGCGTAGTTGATACAAAATGAAACCAAAAGAGTGATATCCATGTAGCCAAGACACTACTAACTACGGTCATAACAAATCCGATTGACGTCAACGCTACTCTCAAGAAAGGACCTGGAAGCGAACATCGTCTCCAAATCTTTCCGTGGCTAGCGCTAGCTGCATTGCGGATAGTAGAACTGTGAGATACACAAATACAACTAACAGCCAGCCAAAGTTGCGCCCAAAGAAGGCGGTGTATCGCTGAGAGCCTGACATGTAACCGAATACCAGATTTTGCAACGACAAGCCAGGCGCCCCGAATTGGTAAAGGGAGTTGAGGCGAGACAGCCACAACTCGCCGTATGCATATCGGCTGTCGACTTCGCACGACGCCCGAATTTTCTCGTGATGTAAGACGTCGCGTATAAGCGCCGTCCAGAAATCCCACTCAACATCGGAAGGAACCAGGCTCGTGTCGCGAGCAATTCCGATGTCGCTCCTTGTGCCTACGAGCCACGCGTAGTATAGCAAGATTCCGTACGCGCTCCGATACAGCTTATCGTCCTGGCAAATCCTCTCCTTCCGGAACTCATGACTCAAAAGCTATTCAGGCAACGGCTCGATGAACATCGACGATTCATGCCATAGCAAGTGCTCATCCGGGTTTTTCGTGAGGTGGACAACACGTCCCAGGAGCCGCTGTAGGTGAATCGGCCGCGCCGGCCGCGGGAGTCCAGCGAGCCAGAGATATCGGTGAATCTTGATCAACGTCGGCGTCCGCAAGTCAAGATTGAGAAACGGGTCAACGTCTTTTCGAGTATCGCACAGCTGGTCGCCGTGCCGAAGATAAGGAGGGAAGAGGGCATCCAGAGACGTAGAACACTGCGAAAGTCGGATGGCAGTATCCTTCGAGAACGGCGGTGCTAAGTGAGGGGTTTGGCGCAGGTCGTTTTTTTGCCCCATGCGGCAATGCCCCGCGTCTGGGGCTGTTCATCCCGTCACTTTCCTAACGACCAAGTTAAGCTTATTTGGCTAGGTTAAAGTCAATTTTACCCAAAGAAAAATATACAACAAAAGTACAATTGGAGTGGGTAGAAATCGCAGATGAGGTGCTGGATCCCATGTGTGAACACATAAGACTATACACCAGACCCTAAGCATCCCATAAAGGCCTGTGGAAACACTTTCGGGGTCCACCGGGCGACCCCACGGCCCGGAACGGCCGGTGCCAATGCAACCCGGACCGAGGTTTCTATTGTCGCACGATAAGCGAGGCCGCTGGATGCCGTGAGAGAAGCATGTGGCTGATGCAGGCAATGCATGTTATCAGATCAGTCAATCTATGAGACCTCTTTACGTTTCGCAAAAACAACGCCATTAACGACAGGCAGCTATTAACGCCTTATATCACACGTGACATCACGTTATAGGTACTTGTAGTCCGTTTACCAAAACGCAGGTATCAAAGCAAATCTCAGTGACCCTTCTCCTACTGAATAAGACAGGTTGATAGGAAAGCACCCTTTCGCTACCGCTTCTCGAGCTATCTACTTAGATGGGGAGGCTTTAAGCCACCAATGCGGCGAGAAAAGGTAATAACTCCCTGCAAGGCCTGGCGGGCGGGCATCTAACTTTAGTTTTACCTGTGAGAAATACGCTTGGCTTCATGCGCTGCAAGTTGTATTGAGTAACTCCCCCTAGCACGGATGCAGCTTTCAATTCTTGGTGTCGTTATGGTGTGAGACTGATTGCAATATGGCAACCGATGGTGTTGGTGACCGAGAAAACATACCCACCTTCAAGGCCCTCTACTGGTCAAGCAGTACAAGATACAACCATCCAAGGCTTACTTTCTCAATAAGGTCATATACATTCGACGAGGCAGATTTTCCTTCTATTGGGGACGTAAAACGTCTACAAGGCTGCCCCATTGCTGCCAAAGATAGCTCACTCTTATTCATAATTAATACCAGCATAGTGAAATCGGCAAGGCTTTTCTGTTTCACGGATGGCTTCAGCAGACTATGCAAATACAGTTCCAGTGGTGGATGGCTACGTCTCCTGAATGGTCGAATTGTTCGTTGGTGTGGCCAAGGATATGGCCTTCAGCGCGCTCCAGCATGTCGGCCATAAAGGAGACCTACCACTTCCTCCATTTCCAACCTTGGAGCCTTGTCCCTAATGTTACGACAGAACATGTAAGTGCAAATTCATCCGGTTGGCCGCTGCACGTCCTTGTTGGAAGATTGATCGGTCGGAGCCAACACAGCAGCGGTAGGCGTACTGCTGGGCTCTCAGCTGTGATTGAAGCAACCATGACTCCGCGATCAATATGCAACGTTACGCCGCGAGGTCCCAAGGCTAACTTCAAGAGTGTGACGAAATGAAGATACATGACGGGGATCCAAGCATGATGATAAATAATAGAGCCTCATATTGTTTGAACAAGCCTTGATCACCCCGCCGTTTCTTCAAACAACTACTTTCATTCAAGCTACCCAAAACGCCCTCACCCGGGAAATTGTCTCTTGGCGAGCGGGAAGAGGGAATCGAGTCGCAATGGAAGCGACTGGGCTGGCTTTCGCCAGCGCCAGTCTGGCGGAAACGGCGTTAAAACTTTACAGGTTCACCAAGAAGATCCAAAATGCGCCGAACGAATGGGAGCGCTATCGGGAATTGTTGGAGAATTTCCGCCAGGTATTTTATCTTTCAATCAACTTTTGTCCTGACCGGCGACTAAACTTCCTAGCTGCTGGAGGCCGTAAAAGGTCTCACAGACAACATGGACGGACTTGACAAGGTGGTTATACAGCGAGACAATCGTAAATACGGGTTGATTGACTTCTGTATGGAAAACACTATTCTCACACTTAACAACGCCACGAGTTTCCTGAATAAATTTGAATCGCTCAACAAAGGAAGGGTTGCAAGATTGAAAGAGCGTCTCTCGAGGAAGGGTAATATGCTCAAATTTGTCATCCAAGACGAGGACGTTGCTGCCTGCATTCGAAACATTGAGACTGCCATGGCTGGCCTCGGCATCGCCATTCATGCTATCTCGCTGGCAAGAACAAATGATGGGTACGCGGCACACTGTTATTGATGGTCGCATGGTGTGATTCGGGAGGCTGACCAGAAATCCAATAGGTTCAATGAGAATAGGCTGGCGATCGGCGATTTGACAAAGCAGCTGTCCGACGCCCTTGAAAAGATTGACAAACGTCACCAAGAAAGCATCACAAGGGAAAAGCAAACTCCTGTTCGATATGCTGTCGAAACACGACGTCGGAAGCTGCAGAGGTTCCTTCCTAGTAGCGACCGACAGCGTCAGACAATCCAGGCTCCGGAGATCAGCTCTGTTGTGGGTGCTGTGATACCTCACCCGGAGCTACGAGCGGTCGAGACTCCGATCATGCAGCCGGGTCTTGCCTCGGTTCCGTCCCATCATTCCGAGGACCAAGGGGGAACTACACGACAAACTCTCGAAGAAAATCCCGAGGCCCTGGCAGCAGCGGCGAACACCTCAGGCGCGGCAAACGGCTTAACATCAGTCAGTCTCGAGGAAAAGGACATCGAAATTGTTTGCGAAGACGGTAGTGTCGTCTTCATACCGGGCGAATCACGTACCATGCACGGCGATGAAGCTGTCGATGACGCGGTAGTATGCGTCAGAATCCCTCAAGAAGCAAGCATCACCCATGTCCCTGCCGACAAGACAGAGTCTACTTCTGACGCTCAACGACTCGTCGACTTTTTGAGAAACGATGAGGCTGGAGATGAAGCGCTCGATGATGACTTGGACGCTGAAACAACATTGATAAAAGTGCAGTCTTGCTTCGTGTTCAGGTTCAAGCTCAGCGCTGGGGACAGTGAGAACGATGAACCTCTCGATACAGCAAAACTTCGATATCTGTGCGTCAAGACCTTGATCCCAGGTTCCCAGAACAGCAACAGCGACGGCCAAGCCTCTCAAATCACAGCGCAGAAGCCCTGCAATCGGTTCCCGCTATGCGAACACATAAAGATCGATCAGCTCGATGAAGGAAAGCCCGCAACTGAGCTTTTGCAGTCGGATATGGGGCACGTAATATTCATTTCCGACGCCGAGGGCCTTGACCCGGCTCGCTGTGTTCCCCTGTTTTCTCAAATCGATGGCTCTGCATACATCCAAGGGTGCGGTGGGGCCTGCGATCATACCCAGTTGAGAGGTCAGCGCAGTGGGCAAGAGAGCGAAGAAGAAATATCGGCGCCTCAATGTATGCAACCAATATGGCTTGTTGCGATGATTGCGATGATGGGGGAACTTGTGACTACCAATGACGACGACGATGCCGACGACGACGATGCCGACGACGATGCCGACAAGCAATCCCACTGGGCCATCCCAACGGAATTAGGCTTACAGTCTGTTGCGTTGGCAGCGTCCAAAACCTACTTTTTAGTCCGTGCGCTGAAAACACACATATGTGAATTTTGGCTTGATGCCAGCCCACCGCGATGGATAACGGCGATGCCAGCCCGGCCGGGCCCATCGCGATGGGTAACGGTGATGCCAGCCCATCGCGATGGGCAATAGTGATGCCAGCCCACCTCGATGGATAACGGCGATGCCAGCCCGGCCGGGCCCATCGCGATGGGTAACGGTGATGCCAGCCCATCGCGATGGGCAATAGTGATGCCAGCCCACCTCGATGGATAACGGCGATGCCAGCCCGGCCGGGCCCATCGCGATGGGTAACGGTGATGCCAGCCCATCGCGATGGGCAATAGTGATGCCAGCCCACCTCGATGGATAACGGCGATGCCAGCCCGGCCAGGCCCATCGCGATGGGTAACAGTGATGCTAGCCCATCGCAATGGGCAATAGTAATGCCAGCCTACCTTAATAGGTAACAGTAATACTAGCCTATTGCAATAGGCAATAGTAATACTAGCCTACCTTAATAGGTAACAGTAATACTAGCCTATTGCAATAGGTAATAGTAATACTAGCCTACTTTAATAAATAATAGTAATACTAGCCTAGCTAGGCCTATTATAATAGGTAATAGTAATACTAGCCTAGCTAGGCCTATTATAATAGGTAATAGTAATACTAGCCTAGCTAGGCCTATTATAATAGGTAATAGTAATACTAGCCTAGCTAGGCCTATTATAATAAGTAATAGTAATACTAGCTTAGCTAGGCCTATTATAATAAGTAATAGTAATACTAGTCTACTTTAATAAATAATAGTAATATTAGCCTATTATAATAAGTAATAGTAATATTAGCCTATTATAATAAGTAATAGTAAGTTAAAGCACTTATATATAAAATACCCCTATATATAGAATACTTAAAATATTACTATTATATTAACTACTACCTTTTTTAATTAACTATTAATATTTTTTAAATATAATAATAATATAGCTTTTAGCTTTACTAGGTAATTCTAATACACTAGATTTATCTAGCTTACTTTTAGTATTACTAGCCTTACGCTAGGCTTACTGTACCTCTTTAATTATTATAAACTTTATATTTAGATCTAGGGTAATAGCCTTCCTCTTTCTACTAACAGTATTATTAACCTTAGCCTAGAGAAGCTTTATTTAGTGCTAGGTAGTAGCTAACTTAAAGGACTACTGTTAAAAGCCTTTTTTAACCTTTCTAAAGAGCTAGCGTTATATAGTAATGTTTTACTCTAGTTAGTCTAGTTAGCTAAATAGATATAGTTAATCCTTAAGGTCTTGTACCTTCTTTAGCGTAGACTACCTAACTACTAATAAGGCAGATGCCTATTCCTCTATATCCTAGGCCTTATAGGCTACTTTTGCTTTCTTGTTAACTAGTGTTAATAGTACTAATAGTGCTAATATATCTAGTAATAGATAGAAGCTTATTAGAGGCTTTATAATACTAATAGGCTATAACCTAGTGTATTTCTAGCTACTCTTAATATTACTAATAGTTAGATTAGCTAGGTAAGCCTTTTAATAGTAGAAAAGAAAGTTCCTTTTGCCTATAATAGTAAAGTTAATCTACTAACTAAGATATCTAAGCTCTTTCTAATATACTGCCTTAATAAGGCTAAAGACTAACTAGTTAAGTAGCTAGAGGATATAAGAGGTATATAGTAGTAAAAATAAGAGATAGACGTTATTAGTATATATAATAAACTACAGTGTCTTAATATTTATAAAGAGAAGTAGTTAATTTTCCTAAGTCTAAGTATAAGAGAAAACTTGCCTAGAAATACTCTTCTTAATATAGGTCTTATTAGTTAGAAGCGCTACTCTATAGTGTCTCTAACTAGAACTAGCTATATAAAGCTGTCCTAGCTTTATAATATACCCCCCTAGTTATAGAGTTTATCTCTATAACTAGATAAAGAACTATAGATATTTTTATAATAAAAAAAAATAAGATAGTTATTAGTTAATAATAGCCTTTTAAGCTAATTAATAAATAATAAAGTAAATAATAGTATTATATAAAAGGTCTTTTAATACTATATCTTATTATCTATTATTATTTACTTTAGTAGTAGTTCCTTTTGTTTCTTAAGGTGCTTATTCTTTCTAAAATAGGTAATAACTAACTACTTACTAGTTAAATAATAAATATCCTTTAATATCTTATTACTTAACTTTTTTTTTTTTTTAACTAATAACTTATTAAGTAAAGTAAGTTAATATTCTTTTTACTTACTATATATTCTAGTTTATATAGTAGTTCTAAAGCTATTTTTAGATAGCTAATAGTTAAAAGGAAGTAAAAAAGAAGTTATAGCCCCCTTTTAACTAGTAATATATTTTAAGTAGCTTAAGTTTCTTAGTTAGTAATTAACTTTACTTCTTAAGTCTTATAGTTTTTTTAACTAAGAAATTATTTAGATTTATATTTCTACTAATAATCCTCTTTAATAAGAGAATATATTTATACCTAAGTTTAGACTCCTTAGCTTATATAGTAGTTTAATAGCTAGAACGTTTTTTAAGTTATATCCTTAATTAGGTATAATATCTAGTTATAATCTTACTAGAGGTATAGATCTTAGCCTAGTCTTAGATAACTAGGGTCCTAGTAGAATCCTTACTCCTAGGCCTAGTAATACTCTATCTATTAGTCTAACTAATTCTCTAGTTATCCTTAACTTAGATAAAGGAAGTATAGCGCTTCTCTTCCTAATTTACTTAAGTAAGACACCTTAGGGGACTTTAGTTATAGTTAAGAAGTATAATATAATCCTCTAAGATAAGTATACTAAGCGTAAGTTTTCTTTTTTTCTTAGTTATAAAGTGTTTTTTATTTACTAATAAATCCTAGTTTATCTAAAAAGAATCTTATTAGTTCTACTAATTTAATAATAATAAGTACTAATCTAAGTAGTTATAGCCTTATTTATCTTCTTTAATAGAATTAAAGAAAGCACTAAAAGGACTTTATAAAGGGCCTATAAAGTATATATATATAGTAGTAAAAAAAGTATATTAAGAATAGATTATTACTTTATTTATTAAGAATAAAGATAATTATAAAAATTTTAATAGTAATTATATTTTAAATAAGTTAAAAGATAATTTACTTATTAATAATAATCTAAAAGATAATAAGCTTAGTTATAGCCTTTTTTTTTTACTTATTAATAAGAAGTATAAAGTAAGTAGTAGTAAAGGTTTAATATACTTTTATAAAAAGTATATACTTAATATAAGTAGAAACCTAGTTCTTAAGAGAGGTCTATACTAGGACTAGATCTACCTTAGCTATCTTAAAAGTATTATTTATAGCTCTTCCTAAGGTAAATATACCTTAGTAAATAAAGATAATCCTTATAAACACTATATTAAGAATAATATATCTTATATTACTATTCTTAATAAGTTAGTTAACACTACTAATAGCTTTATTTATTATACTTACACTAGAGATATAAAGAGTTTAGTAAGTCTTAGATTCCCTTTAGTTATTTTTACTTCTAGGACTAATATTCTAGGTAGAAGTTAAAGTTTAAGAGTTAGACCCTTTATAAAGGTATTACTAAGGTTAAGGCACTTTATAAGAAGTAGAAAAAGGAGCTTAAGAGGACTAGTAAAGTAACTACTATTAACTTTACTAATCCTAGTCCTTATAATTTAAATATTTATCTATTTAGTTAATTAATTCTAACTTCTGTTCTAGTTTAAGGTTATAACTAGGTGCTTAGTTTAGCTAGGAAGTATAGAACTATACCTTTAGGTACTACTCTAGTTATTACTAAAAAAAGAGAGCTTTAATAGACTTTTTTTAGTTAGTTTTTAAAGGTAATATTACCTATAAACTTAGATTTATAAGTATAGTTAAATCCTTTAAAAAGCTATTTAAGATAAGTATTAGCTATAGTTTTTAAGGTTAATTTTCTAAAGCGTTTAAAGTTTAAGATAAAAAAAGAAAAGTTTTAGACTATAATTTTTAGCCTAGGCTTTTATAAAGGAAAGTTTTTAGGCTATAATTTTTAGCCTAAATTAGTTTTTAAGGTAGTATAATTAGACCTCCCTAAGAGGCAAAGTGTTCTATATTATATAGCTAATATAAGCTAATTTACTTATAAAATTAACTTACTTTTACTTTAATATCTTAATTATCTTTTTTATATAAGATTATATATATCTATAAAATTAAGTAAAGAATAGAAGTATTTAAACTTAGTATATAAAAGATTTTTTATAAGTTTATTAGCTAGTATTTTATTTATAGTTATATAGGTAATATTAAAATTACCTTTTATAAACTCCTATTTTAACTATATATTTTAAATATTAATATATTAAAGCTTTATTATAAGTCTTTCTTTTTACTAGATTACTAGCCTTATTATTTACTAATTATTATAGTATATTCTTTAAATATCTCCTATAGCTAGTTAGAAGTCTTAAAATAGATATTTAAGAGCTATTACTTCTTTAGCTATTTATTCTAGACTTAGGAGTTTAGCCTTAGTAGTTAAAGTTATTACTATTACTTAGTGTATAGCTTTCTACTAGATTATACCCTTAAATAGTAAGAAAATATAGCCTTAAGAAGACTTTCTTAACTCTTTATTATCTATAAATAAAGTATTACTTACTATTATAAGGGCTATTTTACCCCCTATATCTCTAAAGTAAATTATAAGGTAGTATATTAAATATAAGTATTAGATTACTTAGTTTACTATTAAAATATACTTTCTTAAAGGATTTATAAGGTAGTAAGATAAAGCTAAGTATATAAATATAACGTTAAGTTATATTATAATTATAGTAAAGAGGATTAAGCTAATCTTTGTTTAGTATTTATAGACCTATTCTTTTATTGCTTAGCCTAGGTTATTTTTAAGCGTTATAGTTAGTAAAGGAGTTAATAAGAAGATGCCTTTTATAAGGTTAAATTACTTTATAACCTTCTTAATATATACGTTATAGACTAAAAAGAGTTTCTTTACCTACTAATCCCTTATAATATATATTCTAAGGTAGTATTTAGCTAGGCCTTAGTCCTTTATTTTATATACCTCTTTTAAGTTATTAATAATTTATTCTCTAGCTACTTAGTTATTT